CCTGTTCCCTGTATCAACCGATAGAGACCATTATCAGTAGGGTGTGCACTCCACCTACAGGAACCAAATAGATGACTGCACACCTTTAGGGAGAAGTAACCCATTGTCCTTAACAGCAGGGAGGGGGGCCTTGGGGGGGTCCATACCTTAGTCTGGTGACTGACTGCCTCCAGGGAGGATGTCTGTAAGCATCTCACCTCCCCCAATATGCTAGCAAAAAGCCTCTAATGTTTGGCATATCTTTGGGGGAGACAAAGCTGGGGAAAAGTCTCTTTATAATCCCACAAGCCCCCCTCCAATAAAACGATTAATTTAAATAAATAAAATATATATGGAGTTGGTAATAGAAACCAAGATAGAGATTGCATGATAGGATTTTACAAGACCACTGACTTCTTAATGGCAAATACCATTGTATCTCCAGAAAGAATACACAGAAAGAAATCAAGTTGATTTTTGTGGGAAGATACTAAGGAGCAGCTCAATACAAGCAGCTAAAACCAGGCCAGAGTCTTATGGAGCAGATGAACAATATGTAAGTTCAGGTTGAAGCTGGAGAACATTCAAACAAGTCCAAAAGTCAAATTAGGAGACCATACCAAGAACAGATTTCATGCATTGAACACAAATGACAGAATCCCTGATGATCTGTGGGAGGACATCAAGAACATCATGAAGAAAACAAAAGGTCATTAATAAGACTGGAAAGAAGGACACCATCAAAGCAGATGTCAGAGGAGGCTGAAATTTGCTCTTAATCGTAGAGGAGCTAAGGCAAATGGAAGAAATATGAAGTCAAAGCTGAATAGAAAATTTCAAAGGGCAACTCAAGAAGACAAGCTAAAATAATGTAATGAAATGTACAAAGACCCCGAGTTAGAAAACCAGAAAAGAAAAACACACAGCCTTACCTTAAACTAAAAGAACTGAAAAAAGTATTCACGCTTTGAGTTACAATATTAAAAGAGTGTATGGGCAAAATATTTAATGATGCAGGAAGCATCAAAGAGTGGAAAGAATATGCAGAGTCATTGCATCAAAAAACTCATCCACATTCTACCATTTCCGGAAGTAGCATACGAGCAAGAGCCAAAGGTGCTAAACAAAGAACTTCAGGCTGCACTGATAGCGTTAACCAAAAAACAGGGCTTCAGGAATTGAAGGAATACCAACTAAAATGTTTCAACAAGCTGATGTAGCACTGGAAGCACTCACTCATCTATGCTATGAAATTTAGATGACAGCTATTTAGTCACCTGACTGGAAGAGATTCATACTGTACCCAGTCCAAGGAAAAGAAACCTGATTAAAGAATGGTCAGATTAAAGAATACTAACAGTTGTTTTTTTTATCATTTTATTGGCGGCTCGTACAACTCTTTCACAATCCTTATATACATACATCATTGTATGTCAAGCACGTTTGTACATTTGTTGCCCTCATCATTCTATCATTTTATAAATTAAATATTTTTATTGGGAGCTCTTATATCTCATCACAATCCATACATTCTTCCAGTGTGTCAACCACATTTGCATATATGCTGCCATCATTATTTTCAAAGCATTTTCTTCCTGTTTGAGCCCCTAATATCAGTTCCCTATTTATTCCCCCTCCCTTCCCTCTCCTCCCCTGCCCGCCCGACCTCACGAACCCTTGAGAAGTTATAGATTATTATTTTCATGTCTTAAATCATCCTCCATCGCCCCTCACTCACTTTTCTATTGTTCACCCCCCTGGGAGGGAGTTACATGTTGATCCTTGTGATCAATTCCCCCTTTCTGCCCCACCCTCCCCTAATCCTCCTGGTATCTCTATCATCATTGTTGGCCCTGACGGGTTTATCTATCCTGGGTTCCCTGTGTTGTGGGCTCTTATCTGTAGTAGTGTGCATGTTCTGGTCTAATCTGATTTGTAAGGTATAATTGAGGTCATGATAGAGGGGCGAAGAACTAGAGGAAAGTTGTGTTTGATCTGTGTTGTACTACACCCTGACTGGCTCATCAAGAATACTATCATTAACATCACATACAAGCAAAATTTTGCTGCAGATCATTTAGCAGCAGTTTTAGCAGTAGTTTGACAGGGAGCTGCCAGAGGCTCAGGCCAGATTGAGAAGGGTGGAACAAAGGATATCATTATTGTTTCGTGTTTCATTATTGATGCATCTTGGCAGAAATCAGAGAACAACCAGAAAGTTGTTTACTTCTTTATATTAAATGCAAACATTGGACTATGTGGACCATGGCAAATTATGGATAGCCTTGAGAAGAATGGGAATTCCAAAACACTTCATTTTGCTCGTGTGAAACTTGTACATGGATCAAAAGGCAATTATGTAAACAGAACAAGGGAATACTGCATAGTGGAAAATCAGGAGAGGTGTGAATCCATGTGGTACCCTCTCACCATACTTATGCAGTCTGTGTACTGAGAAAACAATAAAATAAGCTGGATCATATGGAGAAGAATGCAACCTCAGAGTTGGAGGAAGGTTTATTCACAACCTGAGATATGCAGATGACAATTTTTGTTTGCTGAAAGTGAGGAGGACTTGAAACACTTGCTGATGAAGATCAAGGATTGCTGCCTTCAATACAGATTACAATTCCGTGTAAAGAACACAAAAATGTTCACAACTGAACCAATAGGTAACATCTTGATAAATGGAGAACAATTTGAAGTTGTTAAGGGTTTTGTCTTACTTGGAACCACAGTCAATTCCCATGGAAGCATCAGTCAACAGATCAGATCTACCGCATAAGACCTCTTTCCAGTGTTGACAAGCAAGAATGTTACTTTGAGATGCCATTTTTTTGAAACCCCATGGTATTTTCAGTTGCCTCATGTACATGTGAAAGTTGGACATTTAATAAGGAAGACCAAGAAAGAATCTATGCTTTTGAATTATGGTGCTGGTGAAGACTACTAAAGGTACCATGGACTGTCAGGAGAACAAACAAATCTGTTTTGGAAGAAGTACAGCCAGAATGCTCCTTAGAGGCAAGGATTATGAGACTTCTTTGTCTCAAATTGTGTTAGTCCGGGTAGATTAGGGAAACAAATCCAGAGACATGTGTGTAAGAGAAAGCTTTACTTCAAAGAGTAATTTTATATTGTGAAAACATCCCAGCCCAGTTCAGATCAAGTTCATAAGTCCAATATTAACCCATATGTCCAATATTAATCTATCAATTCCTCTTCAGACTCAATCACCCCATGTAGTGACTCCAAATACAGGAAGAAGATAGAGCAGAGGGTGGAAATTCTTGTGGATCCAGTGGCAGTGGGAGCATCTCAGTGCTAGCATGCGTCTCCACAGGGCTCCTCCAGCTACAGGGTTCTGGCGCAGCTCCATGTGTCTTGTCAACAGGAATGTCTCAGGGAGACCATGCGTTTGGCCTTCAGTGAGCTATTTTTCTCTGTCAAGCCTCCAAGTTGCGACCTGATTGACAGGCTAGCCTCCACCCCTATAACCTATTTAACAAGTTGCCACCAGATTATGTAACTACCGCACAAGTACTTTAGTCATGTTTTCTGAAGAGACCAGTCCCTGGAGAAGGACATCATGCTTGGTATATAGTACAGGAACAGCGAAAAAGTGGAAGTCCCTCAAGGAGATGGATTGACCGAGTGGCTGCAACCATGGTCATACAGAATGCTTGGGATGATTATGGAGCAGGTGGTGTTTCATTCTGTCGTACATAAGGTCACGATGAGTTGGAACTGACTCAGTGGCATTTTCCAACAACATCTTGATTGCATAGTTGATCAATTTCAGGTTGAAGAAGGTAGTAGAATTCTTCACATTCTTCATCACTGACTTAGTGGTTGTTGTGTAAATTTGTATAGTTTAGTAACTGGGTTTCCTTGTAGATGTAGAAATAGATATTACCCCATTACAGATAGTGTTGTACTTCATTAGAGACCTTGAAATGTTTTCGATGATGAATGCAAAACCACTCCTCTCGAGTTTGTCATTCCCAGCGTAGTAAAACGTATCTGATTCAACATGCCCCAAACTAGGTAATTTCAGTTCTTTATCCGTACCATTTTATTTTTAACTACTTCCAATTTTCCTAAATTCATACTTCATATATTCCATGTTCACTTACTAATGGATATTTGAGCAATTCTCATTTGGAGTCTCATCAGCTAATGAAAGTCCCCAAAACTTGGCTCTTCCATGTCATTAATGTTGACTGTACTTTGAGAAGGCAACTCTTTCCCAATCATATTTTTAGTGCCTTCAAACCTGAGGGATTCATCTTTTGCTGTTATATCTGATAGTCTTCCACGGTTACTCATAAGTGACTGATTTTTCAGAAGTGATCAGCTTCTTCCTTAGTCATAGTTTGATCTTACTCTGGAAGTTCTGCTGAAACCCGTACCTTTGATTGACCCTGTTGATATTTGACATTGACCAGTAGCATAGTTGCTAGCATCACAGCAACACGCAAGTGACCACAATATGACAAACTGGTAGATAACTTATGAGTTCTTGGTTAATGTACTTAAATTTTGAGCCATTCTTTTCATTCATCTTACTTTGAATCTTCCTCTTCTGTATACTTAACGTTTAAAGCCCCAAGTTAAAAAGAGTACTGCACAAGGAGAAATATTTTTTAAGGGGGAAAAGCCCTAAAAAAACCATAAAGTTCAAATACGATCATCATAGTACCCAAAGGAACTTTGGTAACACTTTATTATTATGTTACATGGTAGAAAACTAAGTACAAAAATTAAGACGTGAGGAGAGCAATGAAACCCCACCTCCCCCAAAACAAACAAAAAACCCGGCTATGCAAGTGTCTGCTTAGTCTGGATCATGATAAATTTAAAATAACCCATTGGCTTTTCAAAATGCATCTCTACTGGAAGAGATGACTTAAAATATGTCTGTTTACACACTCATATACATATAAAAGTGCAATAGAAAAATATAAAATATATGTAGATGGATACTAATATTCTGTGTAATTTGTGTCTTTCCATTGCAGGTATGAGTATCACTGGGCAGATGGAACAAACATCAAGAAGCCTATTAAGTGCTCTGCGCCAAAGTATATTGATTACTTGATGACTTGGGTTCAGGACCAGTTGGATGATGAGACATTATTTCCATCAAAAATCGGTATGATTGTGATTCATTATGCTTTATCTAATCTTACATGTGTCTAGTATTGTTCCCCCTTGAGTCTACCTTTCTACTTCCAGTGGAGTCTTTCCATAGGGCTGTTTATATGTTATGTAGTTCCAAAAGTTCCTTTTCCAGAGTTAAAGTAAGCAAGCTATCCTTTGGGAAATGATAGTCCCTGCATTTAACATACTCCACAACTGATCCCTAATTCTGACTCATCATTACCCTATATAGAGCTGCTGAGACTGTAAATTTTGTGGAGAGCAGATATCTTTATATTTCTGCTGAGGAGCAGCTGGTGGGTTGAACTGCCAACTCTGTGTTTAGTAGGCCAATGCTTACCTCAGCCCCATGACACCACCAGGGCTTATCTATTTAATACAGCATTCTTAAGTACATACTTGTTGAAAGGTAGATTTATTAGAAAATAATGATCTCCTGATTTACGACAATCATTTTGTTAAATTTTTGATGATGTTTCCAATTAAAATATCACTGGTTGTATGATTAATATCAAAGAAATATGAAATATTCTTTGATTGATATTTGGTACTTGATTCTTTTAAATATTAAAGAAAATTAACTGTGACCGTCAAGCGAAGAAGAATAAATATATATCCTTATTGTTTAAGCCCTTTCAGGAGTTCTATATAGAAAAAGGTATGGAGGCTGCATCTTGCTACTCTGTAACCCCTCTGGTTACTTCAGGGAGCAGGAGATGTCCACATGCCTCTTCTCAGCCATTCTGGTGAGCATGTCTCTCTGGTCCTTGGCCTTGCACCCAGTTGGTCCTTTGACCTCTGGTCTGCTTCAGAAAGTGTTACCAAGTGCTCCTTCAGCATCTGTAAATGCTTAATGAGCATCTCACTCTGCAACCCAATCTCTTGCCACAAGCCAATCAATCAGGTTCACCAGTTCTGTGGGCGGGAAATCCCCTTGCTCTACCTCAGAGTCTGCATAGCAACTCTGGTCTGCCTTAGGGTCTAAGAGCTGTGGTCTCTGGTCTCAGCTGACTGTGCTACGTTTTCCATTTTAGATAGGGCTCTTGCATTCCCTCTGTCGGTGGCTTTTCTTTCTTGATGGTCTCACAGGCTTCCCTTCCTGCTTCCAAAGTGGTTCTCTCATTCCCATAGTAATGATGACACTGACCAGTTAGTTGCCTCTGTAAGTGTTCCGCACACTATGTGTGCAGGGTCTCATCTAGTCATTTGGTAGGAGTTACAAAGACATGGGTAGAAGGGCCATAGTAAGCAATTAACTACATCCCAACCTCACAAAACATTTGCCAACTCAACTTTTTGCAGTTGTACAACTTGTGAATCACCATTACTCTTAATCGGTGTAACATTTCCATTACCATTAACAGAAACTTGGTTTCCATAACTAATTACTACCTCTCTTTCCTTCTCCTCCTGAACCCCTATAACTACTTGTAAACCTCTGTCTGTATGCATTTATACTTTCATGTCCTTGTATATAAGTGGTATCCTACAATATTTGCCTTTTTGTGATTAACTTATTTTACTTAGTATAATGTCTTCAAATTTGGTAATGGAGAATATTTAAGTCTCCCTCTCTGGTCCTCAGCTTCTCAGCCATGTGGTCCCTTGGCCTCAGCTTCTATGAGCCAGGAAGCCAGCCTGTTGTCTGTCTCATAGCCTGTTCTATTTCACGGTCTCCTTTCTTCTACCTGTGATCTTGGCCAGACTCCTTTGCTCTGTCCTATTGTCTCTGTGTCACATCCTCTAGTGCTTCCAGTTTTGACCTCCACTGCTTTAGACGAAGATCTCAAACGTGTCCAATTGGTGGCTCTTCTTCCGTTATGGTCCTGGGAGTCCTTGTTTCTGTTTCTGAGATGGCTCATTCTTATGGCCAGGGAATTGGCAACTAAAACGGACCAATCCCTTCTGTTAGTGTTCACACACACCCTCTATTTGCATCCACCCACCTAATCATTTATTAGGAGTTGCAAAGACAGGTTAGAAGAACTATATTAAGAAATTTTACTTCACCACACTGTCCCAGGATCCATAGATGATCATACTTAACAAAGAATTTTAATTGTGTACATTTTTAATATCCTATCTTATTCATATGGTATTTATTATGAACATTAAGGTAAACTTCTCTATAATTTAAACAAGAAGCTCATCAGTATATATATGTCGGATAGTAACAAAAGGATATAATGGATACTAGTATACAGGTAATAACATCTGCTACATTCTCTTCCTTATTCAATGAGAAGGATTATTGAGTTTGTACCCAGTGTTAAATTTCATTGGTAGCAAAGAGGGGAGTTTGAATTTGGGACCCATGAAGTGAATCTTACAGACTCTGAAATTATGCCATTTTGGAAGAAAGATTTGAGGGATTGGTCCCCTTACATTGGCTTTAAGAACACATCTGTCAAGAGGAAATTGTTTTCCTCTAGAGAGTTCATGTGTTCTTACCTTGTTATATTTCTTACAAGTCTGTTTTCTGTTACTTTCTTTTGAGAAATTAAAGTTTTGTTCATTTAATGATTAAAAAAGTGACTATTTTTGAATACATAACAGTGTTTGAAAAGGGTGTGATGGAGGATTCAGAAATATATGTAATTTCTGTATTATGACCATTTAAACAGATTGATTGAATGTTTTAATCATTTTGGCACCTTGGTTATAAAAGAACTACTTTTTTTTATGACTGAATGACATAAACTTCATAGTGATTTTGGATGAGTGCCCACACCTTTCTTTATCTTCCATAATTTGTGCATTTAAAACTTTAAAAAATAAATTTAACCCAATTTCAGGCTTACATGAATTTTGTAAGGATTATCGAAGAATTTCTTTCTAGCCATCATCTAGGTCAACGGTTCTCAACTTGTGTGTCATGACCCCTTTGGGGGTCGAATAATCCTTTCACAGGGGTCACCTGATTCATAACAGTAGCAAAATTACAGTGATGAAGTAGTAACAAAAATAATTTTATGGTTGGGGAGTCACCACAACATGAGGAACTATATTAAAGGGTCGTAGCATTAGGAAGGCTGACAACCACTGATCTAGATTGTTACTTGAAAATATTTTACTACATTTGCTTGATCGTTCCTCTGTCATATATACACACTTTTGCACATACTCTCCTAGTTTTTTGCATCCTTATATTTTTTAAAGCAAAAGAAAATCTTTGGTTTTCATTTTAATTCACCTGAAATGTCTTTGGCCCTCTCTAATCTGAATATGGATACTTTAGTCTTACTTGGTCGTTCATAGCATTAACATTTTTGAAAAGTGTGGGTCCATTATGTTGTAGAATGTCTTTTCACTTTGGTTTTTCCTTTGTTTTTAACATGAGAGCAGGCTGTGTGGTGACTCTGAACCCAGTAATACTAATTGGAGTCCCTGGATGATACAAATGATTAACAGGCTCAACTACTAACCAAAACCTTCTACTAAAAGGTTGGGCAAGACCAACCAACCATTTTGATGCAAACTAGGTGGATCAGAATGGAGACCCAAAGCCCATCTGTAGACAAGTGGATATCCCCTCACAGAAGGGTCACAAGGAAGGGACAGTCAGCCAGGATGCAGTATAGCACCAACAGAACACACAACATTCCTCTAGTTCTTTAATGCTTCCTCCCCAACCACCCCCAACTATCATGACCCCAGTTCTACCTTACAAATCCGGCTAGACCAGAGCATGTGCACTGGTACAGATACGAGCTCTCAACACATGGAATCCAGAACAGATACACCCCTCAGGAACAATAATCGAAGTAGCGATACCATGAAGTGGGGGGAGAAAGGGAGAACCGATAGCAATGATTGACGTATTACCCCCCACCAACCCCGGGGATAAACAATAGAAATGTGGGTGAAGTGAGACATTGGATGGTGTAAGATATGAAAATAAAAATAATTTATAAATTATCAAGAGTTCATGAGGGTGGGGCAGGGAGAGTAAAAAGAGATAAAACCAAGGGCTCAAATAGAAAGAAAATGTTTTGGAAATGATAATGGCATATGTACAAATGTATTTGATATAATTGATGTATGACTTGTTGTAAGAGCCCCCAATAAAGTGAATTCATAGAAATAAATAAATAAAACAAAAGGTTGGGCATTTCCAAGTCCACCCATCCATGCCTCAGAAGAAAGGCATGCTGGCCTACTTTTAAACAAGCTGCTGAAAACGATGGAGTATAGCTCAGCTTACCTTACATAGGGAATCACCATTCAGTGGATCGACCTGAGGGCAAAGGGAATAAAACAATGTCAATATTTGACTTGTGCCTTTGCTAATTTGTGTCAAATTATCCATCTTAACAAAAGAGGTGAAATTTTTCATTTTTCTAGTTTTCTAATTTTTCAGTGCTATAAATGTGTGCTAATGGGAAAAACTGCACTCATTTAAGTGGAGACAGCAGTTAATTTCAGGGCAAATGTAGATCTGGAGTAGTAAGGGAAAAATTTCTATCATTTAAATATGAAAATACATTACAAGGATTTTAAATAAAACTGAATGTGATTAACGTAATAGTTGCGTTTAGCAAATAAACATTTTATTAGGGGCTCATACAACTGTTATTGCAATCCATATAAGTGGAGAGAAAATGTTTTGAGAATGATGAACTTGAGTTTTAGTTTTAGCTGGGAGCAGTGGTTAAAGCACTCAGCTGCTAACTACAATTTTTTTTTAAGTTCAGAAGCTCTGGCAACATAGTGGGCTAGCATTAATCTGCTAACCACAAAGTCAGTGGTTCAAGCACACCAACTACTCCTTGGGAGAAATTTGAGGCTATGTGACCCCATAAAGCTTTTAATAATTCTCAGAAACACAGAGGCAGTTTTCTGACCTTTAGGGTTGCTATGAGATGGAATTGATTAAATGGCTATGAGTTTGGTTTTTTAGGAAAGCAGTGGTTTATATTTGAAGCGAGTTATTGTTCTGTGCTGTCAAGCCTTTGCTGACTCTTTGACACTCTGTACAATGGGACAAATTGCTGCACCATCTTTATGATTGTTATGTTTCAACCAATTGTTGCTGCCACTGTGTCATTCTATCTTGAGATTGAGACTCTTCTCATTTTAGCCTATCCTCTTTACCAAGCATGATATCCTTCCCTGGGACTTGTACCTCCTGATGACATGTCTAAAGTATGTGAGTCAAGTCTAGGCATCTTTACTTCTCAGAAGCATTCTGGTTGTACTTTTAAGAAGCATAAAGGGCTATGACGAAGACTAGTTCTTATTCCATTGAAACTTTGGTTCATGATACATTGAGAACTTCTAAAAGGTATATTGGGCATATAGAGGTGTGATTTAGTAAATACTTCTTTTCATCCTTGTTTTTGTAATTTATGTTGCCATTTACTGACAAATGCATATTATTTTATTGCCATTTCTTATTATTAAGAACGTTTTTTAAAATTTGTTTTTAGGTGTCCCATTTCCAAAGAATTTCATGTCTGTGGCAAAAACTATACTCAAACGCCTGTTTAGGGTATATGCTCACATATATCATCAGCATTTTGAACCTGTGATCCAACTTCAGGAGGAAGCGCATCTCAATACATCTTTCAAGCACTTTATTTTTTTTGTCCAGGTGAGTTGGATTAGGAAGTCTTCAGTGCTTAATGTAAGCATTCGCCTACAGATTTTGTTTTTAGCAATTGTTTTGACATATAATTAATGTGCTACACAATTCAGTGGTTTAAATAGACTAAATGGAGTTGTGCAATCACCACCATCATCAATTTTAGAAAAGTTTCTGCATTCTTGCACCCATTCATTAGCTCCCATTACTCCCCAATCTCTCCTGCCATCATTCTAAGGAACGATTAATATAGTTACTTTGTCTGTAGATTTTCTTGTCGAGGATTTCATATTTTAAAAATCATACCAAAAAAACCCAACAATGACAAAAAAATAAAACAGAAAAACCTTAATCCAAAAGAAAGCAGAAGATAATTGGAACCAGAACAAATGAAAAGTTGGTCAAAAGGGAAAACAAAAAATATTTTAAATGTTAACCTAACTGCATTTGCAATAACTCATTTTCCAATTCACTCTGTGTGCGGGCAAGATTAGTCACACCCCTGCTCAGTGGTCCCGGGGATTGCAATGGAGGTTTAAGGTGTGAGGGGACTCTGTGAATGGATTTTCAGCATTTACTGTCATCCATAGCCGCCTCTGAGCTTAGATTTTATTATGTACAAAATCCTGGAACCACATGAGCTGGTGTGTTTTCTTCTGTGCAGACTTAGCCAGCACCTCACTTAAATAACTGCCTGTTTTAAGACAATCCTTTAAAATCATAGGTACCTATGAGGACCTAACGTCGGGGGTTTAAATGGAGAGAAAATGTTTTGAGAAACAGTGTACAAATGCGCTTTACACAATTGATGTGTGTATGGATTGGGATAACAGTTGTGTGAGCCCCTAATAAAATGTTAAAATAGAAAAAGAAAAAAAATCATAGGTACTTGTTCTTTTTTTATTTTTCTTTTTAAAATCATTTACTTGGGGACTCATACAGCTCTTATCACCATCCATCCATCCATCCATCCATCCATCCATCCATCCATCCATCCATGTGTCAAGCACATTTTTACATTTGTTGCCGTCATCATTCTCAAAACACCTTCTTTCTACTGAGCCCTTGGCATGGATATTTATTCTTTCTGATAGTCGACCACCATCTGATCTCTTTATTATACTTTGCGTTCATATCGTCATTGGTCACTTCATAATAGCATCTGTTGAGCAGGGCTACCCCATAAGAATTAATTATATTTAGATCAAGTCACTGAATTTTAAGGTGAATAATACATCCATGCTGTGGGGGTAGAATTTGCCATAATTCTATCTAGTTTGCATCCTCTTCTAAATGTACCATGAGAAATACTTGACCTTTTGTTTTCTAATTGCATGTATCTCCAAGAATGTGGCATGTAATTCAAGAATAGACCCGAGAGGTCTTACTTTAGATTTATTTCAGTTCACAGGCCATAATGGAAGGGCTGAATAAGGAACCTGGCTAGTGGGATGGAGTTTAATTTGCAACTCTCTTCAAACTCCTCCTATCCCCCTCCTAAAATACAGTACAGTAATTAGTATAACATAGCATAGTCTTGGCGAGAACTTTATATCAAAGAGTAATTGTATATTAAGAAAACATCCCAGCCCAGTCCAGATCAAGTCCATAAGTCCAATATTAGCCCAAATGTCAGATACCAGTCTATAAATTCCTCCTCAGACTCATAGAACACATGCAATGATGCTGAATGCTGGAAGATCACAAGCCAGTGGGTGGAAAGTCTTATGGATCCAGTGGCAGTTGAAGCATCTCAGTGCTGGCTTGCATCTCCATGTGGCTCCTCCAACTCCTGGGCTCTGACTCCATTAGCATAGCTCTATGTGGCTTGCCAACAGGAATGTGTAGCGGAGAATCTATGTGCCCTGCCTCCAGGGAGGAAAACAGGAGTTCCCAGAATCCTCAGGAGAAGGCCATGCCTACACAGAGGCATTATTGGCTATGGCCTGATTGACAGGCTAGACTCCACCCCTTCACAAGTTGACAGGAGGTTGTGTAACTGCCACACAAGGAAACAAGTGTCCAAAGGAGTACTTCATCCTAGAGTCCATTAGTCTTTGATATGGCTTCCTAGTTGAACTCTTAATTTCACCTGTTTGGTTTCGTCATCATTGAATTGAACCCAGAGACTGAGAGGGCCTATACTATTAGAGAAGCAGCCAGCAGAGATGAGAAAGAGCTGGAGATGAATGAAGTAACCAGCTTTTAATTTTTTAATGGTGGTAAAGAGGAGATAGATAAGAAGGGAGAAGTCCAAGGCTTGAATCTGTATCGTTTTTGTGTGTTTCTGGAGATATGTTTAGAAATTGTCAAAACTGTTCCTCCAACAGTTACTTTATTAGGGTGTCCCATGTATAGGCACTTACAGAGGCAAAAATGGTTTTAATGTTTGCATGTATGCTGTGATCTAAGGAAAATATGATTGCTACAGTTCAGGTTAGGGTGGTTTTAGAGAGGATATTTTCCTAGCCAGCTGTTAGTTTTACCTTACTTTATGAGCCCACTGTAGACTATATTTTCTTAATAGAGGATTAATATATATAGCATAACATCTGGTCCTGTTTATATCTCACAACACTGTGAGCTCTGTAAAGCTTTGCATTCATTACACAGCTTGCTCTTTCATTAGGCAAGAGGGACCTCTGCCTAAACCACCACAATTTAGGGGATCCTGCCCTGCGTCAGTCCCTGGGAAAGGACATCGTGCTCGGTAAAGTAGAGGGGTAATGAAAATGAGGAAGGCCCTTAATGAGATGGATCGACACCGTGGCTGCATCAACGGGAACAGTTGTGAGGATGACGCAGGACCAGGCAGTGTTTCGTTCTGTTGTGCACAGGGCTGCTGTGGGTTGGAACGGACTCCATGCACCCAACAACAACAGTAGCCCCAAGGGATATCTCCCCAGACCCCTTCCGGTGCACTCTTAGGTACCTGTAATCCCAGAATTCATTGTGCACATAGCCCTAAGTCCAGAAATCAGGATCTGCACAGATTTTCCCTTCTCTCAAGTGCAGGTCAAAGCTACTTATCTGTTAGTACAGGCCTGAAGGAAGGACAGATAGTGACAGTTTTTGTGTGAACATGTGAACATGTGGATGTCTGTCCCCATACAGGCAAGGCCCCTTGAGGTGTGGGATGGAGCTGGAGATGTTAAGAGTACGAAGGTGTGTGTGCTGAAGGTCAGAGACCTGGAGCTGGCTCTCCTTATGTTGCTGCTTTTCAGTACAAACTCCACAGAATTCTAAATTTGAATCTGCTTTCCCGGTCATGATGAAAGTGTATTTGTTAAGTTAGGAGAATATATATTTTAATACTTAATAGTTCAATGTATAACTTAAATGTTTAATCATGATATTCTATATCTATTGGTGTTCTTGACTCTGTAGCTGGAGAAAGAGGGCGCTTTCTACTCCTGTAAAAAGCTTTCTACACGTCAGTAACTCATGGGGCAGTTTATAGGATTGCTGTGAGTCATTGATTAGATGGCAGGGAGTGATGGCTTTATAAAATCCACCTGTCACTCCAAGAGAGAAAGGACCCACTGCTCCCATAAAGATGACACCTTCAGAAACTCAGATAGGGTTGCTGTGAGTCAGAATCAACTCAATAGCAGGGGGTAGTTGCTGTGCCTTTTTTGCTACTGCTGCTGCTGCAGGGGTGGATGGGTGGATAGTACGGGGGGCTAGAAATTGGGGTACTAACTGCAAGGTCAGAGTTTAAACCAACCAGCTGCACTTGAGAGAAAGAGGAAGATATCTGCTACTTTAAAGGGTTACAGTCTCAGAAATTCTATATAGGGTCATTATAAGTCAAACTTGACTGAGTGGCTGTAGGTTTTAGGAAAGGCAGTAAATCCTACATATTGGATGATAATATGTGAAAAGGCGTGGCAACTAACAATTTCTCAACAGTGGCGGATTATCTGTCACACACAAGAAACACATACTTGTCCAGCGTAGAATATTGAAAGATAAATACTTACTCAACCAAGTCCTGTACAACTCAAACCAAAAATATTCAATGAAGTAGAGACGTTTCTGACTCAGAGTGACCCCAATACTTCAATCCAAACTCACTACCATGGAATCTGAGATTGTCAGTGTTGACAGGAATTGAAGGGCCAGCCAGTCTTTCTCCTACAGACCTGCTGGTGGTTTGGAATTGTGGACTAGTGCACAGCCCAGTGCGTAACCACTACAACAGTAGGGCAGAGTGACCCTATTGGAGAGAGTGAAAAAGCTCCTGAATTTATAAATTTTTGTTGGAGCAGATAGCCTCCTTTTCCCCCATAGGTTTGAACCATCGACCTTGAGGTTAGCAGCCCAACACTTAACCCACTGCATCACAAGGTTCCTCCACCCCCATGATGTTCCTATGTGCATGTGCTTCCTCCCTCCCTCCCTCCCTTCCTTCCTTCCCTCCCTCCCTCCCTCCCATTTAAGTGGAGGTTTATAGTTCAGATTGTTAACTTAATGATCTTGAGTCTTGCAATTTATAGTGTAGGGGACTTCTATTTAAAATTAAACTTTAGAATGAAAGTTCTGAAGGAGTATGAATTAAATCAAGGCTTTCTTACTTGAGCTTTTGTTGTTGCCACTGAGTTGATTCCAACTCACGATGAACCCCATGAGTTATAGGGTAGAACCGCTTACTTGTAATCTTTATGGTAGATTACCAGGCCTTGTCTTCAGCAGGACCTGCTAACATCTAGGTTAGCAGTCAAGTACAAATGTTTGTGCTGCTCAGGAACCTTAGAGGATCTTAGTTTTTATATATTATCATCCTATCCCGAAACTGCCCCTGTGCGTTTCTGACAATAACTCTTTTTTTTTTAAATCATTTTATTAGGGGCTCATACAACTCTTATCACAATCCATACACACATCAATTGTGTAAAGCGCATTTGTACATTCATTGCCCTCATCATTCTCAAAACATTTCCTTTCCACTTAAGCCCCCGGCATTAGGTCCTCATTTTCCCCTCCCTCCATGCTCCCCCCTCCCTCATGAGCCCTTGATAATTTATAAATTATTATTTTGTCATATCTTTCCCTGTCTGACGTCTCCCTTCACCCACTTTTCTGTTGTCCGTCCCCCAGGGAGGGGGTCACATATAGTTCCTTGTAATCGGTTCCCTCTTTCCTACCCACTCTCCCTCTACCCTCCCTGTTTCGCCACTCACACCACTGGTCCTGTAGGTCTCATCCACCCTGGATTCCCTGTGTTTCCAGTTCCTATCTGTACCAGTGTACATCCTCTGGTCTAGCTAGACTTGCAAGGTGTAGAATTCGCTGACACTAACTCTTAATGGGTGTAGAAAGCCTTACCTTTCTCCCTAGTGGTCACCTATTACTCATTTTATTCTCATACTACATACTTTCAGATATGTTTGCTAATAACCAGGCTCTTAAGTAATGGTGAAGTCTGACGTTTGCCTGGTTGTTTTGTTGATTTTTTTTGTCACTGCTTAGTTGACTATATTTAAGTGATCCCCAGATTGTTCCTTTTTAAATAGCCTAGTGGTGAGAGAAATAACAGCAGCAGCAACTACCGTTATGAGTGTTTTCTTTATGCCAGACATTATGTGAATTGGTTTACATACAATATCACCGTTTGCTCTCAGAGTTTTCTAAAGTGGAGAGATGTATACGAGTACTACAGGTGAGAAAACTACAGGAGTAACTAAGTGATTCCCTTAACATCAAGTAAAAAAAAAAATCAAACCTAAGTTTATTTAATTCATAAGGTAATAAACTTACAAGTGTTAATAGAAATCTGCTATGGAACAAGATGTAAATAATGTCTTGCTCTTTTTTTCTTCATCTATCATGCATAGGAATTCAACCTTATTGATAGAAGGGAACTTGCACCACTCCAAGAACTGATTGAAAAACTCACCTCAAAGGACAGATAAAAGGATGCTGAGCTGTGCAAATTGTTCCTCAAATGGAGCTATGTGGAATATATTGGGGTTTTGTTGTATTTTGTTGTTTTTTATCTGGGCTCTTTTTGTGTTAGATTTAAAGGGCTTGTTTGGGTTCTTTTTTCTTTATTCTGTATTAATGAAATCATTCTATTGCTAGAGGCAACCAAGAACCAATCATAGGGGGGGTACATTTTTTCTTAGCGGTATAATACCTTTTGGACTTAGTTTTGTTTACCTGAGGAGTTTTCTCTGATAATGTGTGTTGAAAGAAAATACTTAATGATGGAACTGCTGATGGATGGGGTTCTGTGTTGTGTAAATTGTGACCCACTTATGAAGTTCTCAAAAGATTGATGTTTTTAAGTGCCTTGGCAGGCTCACTTCTGAGGTGCAAAGCACAGACACAGAATTGAACAGGGCTCAAAACAATATGAGAATTCCCAGGGCAGTTACTGATGCATGGTTTAAAGTATCTATGATAAAAGCCATAGTTTACCTAAATTGGTGATCTCTAGCTTTTACTACATTGAAGAAACATGATTTCTAAAGGTGTGCATGTAGAACATAAAAATATTAGTATTTCCTAATTATTTTTTATAGTGATGGTAATATATTCTGTTCTACAGATGCTTAAAGTTCTACAAGCAAGTCTTTTTCCATCTCTTGATATCTGTGATATTGAAAATTGAGGAAGTTGGAGTGCAATATTGTATTGAATTTCCACTCCTTTCTACATGTTAACTGTACTGTAGGTGTAAAAAATTCAGGTTATGTATAGGATTGCCATCTTCAGAGGTGATGCTGAACTGTGAGGTTTCTTAGCAATTGCCAAATGAGCCATAAGTCTACAGAAATCCCTTCTCTGAAGAGGAGAGGAGTGTGTGTTTGATTGAGAGGGTTAGTTTGTGTGGGGTGAGGGGTAAAAGGTGGGATTAAATAAGGGGGCGGGGGTGTCATATTCACGAAAGTCCTTTGTTCAGAATGGCATGAAGATTGTAATTAATGCTCATTAAGGAGGTCTTGAAGACACCATTTTAGGGATGAGCTTCTATGAGAAGTTACAATAAATTATTAATTTTAGGTTATTGCTGTTGAGTTGATTCTGCCTGATGGCACCCCTGTGTGTGCAGAGGAGAACTGCTCCCTAGGGTTTTCAAGGCCATGACCTTTCAGAAGCAGATCACCATGCTTGTCTTCCAAGGTGCCTCTGGTGGGTTTGAACTACCAACCTTTGGACTAGTTGTTGAGTACTTAACCATTTGCACCACCCAACCTAACCATTAAAAATGGAATTTAATACAATTGGGGGGGGACACTGATCACTTTTCAGTATATCCATTCAGTGAATGGAGCTGGTGTTTGCCTATCATTTAAAAATGATAAATTACATTATTTGTTTCTTACAGGTCCAATTTGAAGCATTTTGACTTCGGATCATTTCATTGTGAAAGGAAATCTTTTTCTTTGCAATGATATGAAATCACCATAAGCTAATTCAGTATTTATTAATTTTTGAATTTTATTTGCCTTGCCTTTCTAGTGAATTATCTCCAGTAACAAAATCAGAAATTTAGTTTTAAAAATAAAATATTAACATTTCACTTTTATTCTTCAAAAATGGTGTGATTTTAATTTTGTCACTTCTTATAAAATATGCGTCCTTCAATTAGATTTTTTGTAGACTAGAAATGGTTGATTTGAAATTGCATAGCAGTGATATGATTTAATGCCATTAAAATTATCACTAGGAATTGCCTTCTCCATTTCATTTCTAGCCATCATTAAGAACCACTGGTTGAAAGGATCAGGAGAACTATGACAAGGCAGATGTAGTGAGCATTCATTGGTAATGATGATTCCTAACTTACAGTGAGAGCCAGCTGGTTTCTTTAAAACAAATCTCTTAAGTTCCATACAGATAATGTCAACCACTATAAGTTGAAAGGAGTTAAATGATTTTTAGTTATATTTACATAAGAAAATGAAGCACATTATTCAAATTGTTTTCCACACTGCATTTAGACTTCATATAACCTAATAACATAGAGATTGCAATAGCTGAGTACAGAGAGAATCATGAAAAATTGTTCTTGCTCTTATAAGCCTTACATTAAAGTGTAAAAACGGGGAGATATTTCCATAAATTAATATTTAGGAGTAGGACCTACTCTCCCAATATTTGTAGACAGGTGTCTGTTTTCACTGTGCCAGAATCTCAGGTGCCTACTTCCAAGTATTCCTTGAATCAAAGTTATTGAGAGTTAAGGAGATAATTTATGTGTGTCTGTATGGTAACAGAATATAGGCATTCTCCCCAGAGTATAGGAGGGGCCTGGCGTTGTACTTGGTATTACATAGCTATGTGAAGGGGAAAACACTCAGAACATGTGATAAATCACATTTGCTTTGATTTGGATGTTTCCCAATGAAGTTACTAGAATGCTCTGTATAAAATAAGGATCAAAGCTTGGTTTTGCAGCAGATATTACTTATAAATAATCTATTGGCCTCTCTTCAGATCTCCTTGTTTAGGTTATAAGTACTCAAGATAATTATTTTCCCTCTGTTTTTCATAAAGGCATATAAAATAGATCATGAGTTTTGTCATCCTCTGATACAAGCATCTTTTAAAAAATAGTAAGTTAACACAATTTCTCTGTCACTTGAAATAATGCTTTGATTAGATGTTGATATGAAGCAAATGTCAGAATTACTTTAAATGATGGAGTACTACTGGTGGTGGAGAGAAATTAAAAAGAGGAAGAGTGAAAATCTCTTTGTTAGCAGTAGATGGTGCTACTGGCTTTCATTTGCTGACTTGATCAGCAAAGTCATTCAATTACCCTAAAACAGGAAATGAGTGTGAGCTGGCATATATTTGAAGGTCGATTTACCTTCAACAGAGATATTCTAGATGGCTATCTCTTACAACTTTTCCCTGTATTTGCCCTGTGTAAATTCTAAATGGTCAGCATAAAATGTATTAGGTAGAAGGTACATTGATTATCTCAATCTCAGACTGAGTGACACCTGGCTTATCAGAAAAAAGAAAGCACGACAGTTTCTTTTATGCAGAAAATAGAAATGATGTGGATATGAATACTTTACATATAATCACCCAACCGCATTTCATTAACTACTAGCATTTTCCATGCTTACGGAAAAATGGCAAAATGACGCATTTCTTTTATATCCTTCTCTGGTCCCTCTCTGAGAGAGGTTCTGATGACCACCGAATGATAGAAAGTTGATGAAAATTTTAAATTAACTTTTCATTTCTATTTATTCATGAATTTTTGAAGCCCTCTCATTGAAATTAAGATACAATCAAGCTGTAGGACTTTCTTTTAAAGTAACTACTGTACATCATACCTTAAACATCCACACGAGAGTTGATCTTCCCAGTCGTTCTCTTCAGGACACTGCTTATTGCTGAAAACGTAAAACACCCTTGAGAACGTTAGCTTAGGACTATGCAACAAAGCTCATCTTATAATTTTATTTGCGGCATTTTGAGATGACTTACTTTATTCACCAGGCCAGCTCTGACGTGTCTGTCTTACAACAACTAAATCATGAGAAGAGTTCAATAGCATAGTTCTTAGATTCTGAATTTGCAGAAAAAAATGTTTTAAGCATTAGTAGCATCGTTGAATCTGGGAATAGTTTCTTGTCGCTGTGTTGAAGTGGGCAGTATCATTTGGATGTATTGGTTATATTTTAAATTAAGTTCTATTATCTTGCAGTTGAATGTAATTTTAAAAATCAAGGACTTTCTCTAGGGACTTTTTTCTCTTTTTTTATTCCTTTGCCTAAAAACTTTTGAATTCTATCTCGACTACTGTAGGATTATTTTGACTGAGGAGATAATATGGAAAAATAGATTTATTATTTAAGATAACAGCTTAAAGAAACAACATTCTTTACCTCCCTTATCTATGTTTCCTGTGGAATTTTACTTTTTTAAAAAAATTTTACACTTTTAAAAATGTCTTTTGAGAAGATGTGGGACCAGAATATATTTGTAATGTGAAAATGTGATGGCATACCAACAAGAAAACTTATTTTACTTTGAAACTTAGCTCTGGGATATTAAGAATATGCCAGTTCTTAAAAACACTATGCTAGATTTGTACTTTAAGGACCACTAATAAAATAATTATCTGTGTTTTGGCATAATGTTAATATTTACCAGAGGAATCACTGTTGTTCACTTGTCATTTTAATGACATATAAGACGGTAAGTGTTTACAGGTAAAATTCTCTCAAGATTTCATGGAAAAGCATACGATGTAACCAAAATTCTGACTGCAGATGATTTGAATTTTTAAGGCTTTTTCTCAAAAGCTAAGCAGAGAAGTCAGTAGCAATTTTCATCTGAAGTGTGATGTTACAGATTTGAATTTTAGAAAAATCATTCTACAAGCCTTGAGGAAGATGGGTGTGAAAGCTCAAAGAAACAAGTGAGGGTCTCCTGCAGTGGGTGAAGAGGGAGATGACAACAAACCCAGGAGAGCTGCAACTCAGCACAATTGCTTTGTTTTCTGGCCTTTGACGGAGTACATGGCCTAACCATGTTTCTATTGCTGGTTTTAGTGGGAAATATTCGTGCTTTCCTTCTCTGACTGGTTGTAACAAAACTACATTGGATCTTAGCAGGTTCCAACTTTTACAGGTTTTACGGTATAAAACTACTCCATCCCTGCCACTTGTAACCGTCTTGATACTTTTAGCAAGTTTTGACAAAAGAGAAAAAATTCAGATGAAAATATTTAGCACTTTCAGCTTTAAGTGTGATACGAGTTTCTTTTTCTCCATTAAGCATCTGTAATGGAAACACTTTGGGTGATAGTTTTCAAACATAGTAAAATCACTGGCCTTTCCAGCTGTAGGTGACCATCACCTCCTTCCTGGAGGTAAATTGTCTTCTTTCAGCTGTTGACTTTCTCATTCCTATGCCCTCCTCCCCCCTCCATCACCACCACCACTTTGAAAACAAAAGAGGTTGATTCTTTCAGTCTCAAGGTGAGTGATTCTGAAGTACAGCCAACCTTTGAACAACATGGGTCTGAGTGTGTGTCACATGGCACTGTAAGTCGATACTTGTGTAATACTGGCAACACTTGAGCTCATGAAATAGCAACAGGCAGAAAAAGAGAAGAAAACCCATGTATAAAAGGGTACAGTTCAAATCTGTGTTCCGGGGTCCACTGTAAAATATATGTGGAGTTGGGCTGTATGGGAAGCAGGCAATCCTAACCTCTGTGTAAGGGTCCTGTCAGTAATATAGATTTCAATTGGAAGATGCAGTTTTTGTTACTTTTGTTTTGATCGGCGACTTTCTTTCAAGTGGGTCACTGAAGCTGTTTGTTAGTAATAGTTTTTGTTAATATTTAATTTCATATATTTTAATATTAAATTCTTCCAGGGGGGTGTTTCTTCCAGTTTTGCACACTTTTCCAGTTTTCTTGGATTTTGAAATATTTAATTATTTAGGTTGTAAGATAGTGCATTTTATTTTCAGAACACTTTTTTCCATATATTGGTCTTCAGAGATGACTATTTTTAGGGGCAATAATTTTTACAGTCACTAAATTGAACTTTTTATTTTTGTACATGTATAAATGGGGTGATGAGGGCACTAATCAACCCTTTAGAGAACACTTAGTTTTGTCTGAGCTTTTCCTCCACATTTGCTACTTAAAATTACCAATGGCAACAATGCCATCAAATCTAGGTTGAGGGAAAATACAATAAATATGAGAACACTTAGATTGAATAGGAACAATTTCTGATGACAAATGCAGGAGACTACTGTGTATACCATATAATCCGAGCTTAACAGCAACACACTGTGCAAGTGTGGGAAAGAAGGCCTACGGGTGGGGATCCTGCTCTCACGAACATAGACAATTCTCTGTATATTAAAGCAGCTGCAATGGGGAAAAGAAAACAACACGAGATGCTATATTTTAAGCTAACTGTGCCAAGATTACTCAAATTATAGTTATCGTTTAAAGTTTACTTTGTTTTAAGGGGATTGTGAATGTCAGAAAAATCTGTAATATGTTTCATTTGAGAGATG